CACCGGTCCGTATATATCTATATACCTATTAAGAAACTGTAAAACCAGCAAAACTCCAACACATGACACGGTGACTCTTTAAATCGAATTTTCGGGTGTGCACCAGATGTACGTACACATGACATGTATTATATGATAAAATATATACAGACAACGTTAATTAATATACCTACATTATAAATATGTTACCTTGCGAAAATTGTTGGATCTTACTTGGTGATATGCTGTACCTACGAGTTGATAGCAGGAGTATAAGTATACTGAGTGTAACACCTACTCGATCGGCTGAATCGGTTCTCTTTTTTTCGCACAGAGAACCGATAGATATATATTTTTTTTTTTTTTTTATATTCATCATCGCCTCTTAAGGGCTCAGACATGGCTATTTTGACACCATAAAGTGTATTTAGCCATACGTTGGGTTTAATAACAGTAGGAGGAAACGGTAGATGGATCGGTAGGTTTATTGAAGTACAACTCCCATCCAGAAAAAAACCTCATTCAATGATGAAATTTTTGTCCAGAGTGGGATTTGAACCCCGGCCATCAAGATCTGTAGGCAGACACGCTACCGACAGAGCCATCATGTGGCGTGATAGATATATATATATATATATAGGTAAAGTGCATCACGTGTAGGTATAAGTATGTTGTTGCACGGGGTGGAAAGAGAGGCAGGGCAGATATACATATAAATATAGAATGAGGAGGAGACTGGACTCCACTGGACGTGAGTTAATAGTTACGGTATTTCTGCTTTCGTCCCTATACTTACTTACACTCTCTTTCGCTTTTTCAACATTTGCTGGCAGCTGGCAGGATGTAGAATACCCACACTGTATAGATATTAAGTACTTACATATATAGGTACAACGCGTATGGTGATGAAGCTTTTGCCTCCCATACGTATAGTATGCCGCCTTACTTTTTCCTTCCTGTAACCAAGCATATGCGCATGTAACTGCTCTTTCGGTACACACATAGTCAAGGTAAAACGAGTACCTGCTTTCACAAGTATAGAATAACTCTTGCTTTCGACAAATGGGTGATTTAAACCGGGAGGACGCAAAAACAATGTACATCGTCCAAATTGTTCATACATACAGCATCACTATAAATCATTACATAATAAATATGTACTTTTTATATTTATATAATTTATAAGTATACCTGTACGAACAGCATGAAATGCCCATGTATAATATACGTGTACCCTCAAGTGCTACCAAAAAGAAGACGTATAAGTACTTATGGGAAGAAAAAGCTCCGAAGAATTTATCAATTTGTTTGTTGACAATAATTTTACTTGACCAAGTGATTGAACAGCCCATCAACAACGTAACCGATTGTTAATTCATTAGCATTAGGTACTTGCAGGGATGAACACGCTTTGCCAGTATTATATTGTTATGTTGCGTTGGCAATTGTAGGTATGATATATACTTATGTATGCCTGATGTCGTGTACCTACCAATAAGAAGGGTAGACGGCAACAAAAACATAGTGATGTGAGAGAACATGTGCCGATACTTACACGGCCGATAAATTGACAAAACTGTGGTCGGGCTGCCCGTTTTTTATAGGCATATACATCAGGTCGAGAGTACAAATAAGATTAAACGATATAGGGTTGCACGCATGATATTACATCGGTACACCTGTTTACAAAATACGTAGCAGTTATATATTTTTCTGGGGACTCTCTTTAATGTACACTTGTATACCTACTTGTGATGTGTAAAATCGCCCACAAGCTATTTTAATTGCAAAGCGACACACGCACTCGCGGAGAGGTCCGATTGTACCCAAGTATAGAGCGCCTCATCGTTCCGAGACGAGGGAAAATGACAAAAGGGTACAAGCGAAAAGTGACGATTACACGTCATGGGCAATACGCATACGATAATAACTGAGGAGGAAGAGCGAGGCTGGCGATAACCCCCAGCTTTATACCTGTGCGCATCCTATTGTAGGTGCAGGTATACATACTTACTTCAATGTATAGGTACATAATATACCGAAGGAGGTACATTGTAAGTGGTTACCGCGCTACGAGTCTTATTTTTGCGTTCGCTTGGGCACAAATAAGCCGGAAATTCGGCATTCGCCGTGTAGGTATCCTAAATGTTATCCTTTACTCTCCGAGTAAGTCCAATCCGATGGCAATCCAACGGTACATCCAGCTCCTCCTCATCGTCGCACCCCCCAAATACTTGAAAAACCGTACAGTCAAAATTATTCATTTCCAACATAATATTACTTATATATTGCGACTAATTGTTTCCTTCCTACAACACTCAATAACGGAATGTAACGACAACGGCGTCGCAAAGTATTGGACTGCCAAGGGCCCCTTATTTACATCCCACTTGGGACTCACGACTCTGAGAAAAACATTGGTGCAGGCCAAAAGTAAACGGGAAAAGTCTGTTTTTGGCCTGAAAAAAAAATAATAATAATAAATGACGCTGTAAGTACAGAGAGAGAGAGAGAGAACGTATCGCATACATGCACGGGGAGAGTATGCATCAGGAAAAGATGAAGGAGAAAGACATATGGGCAAGAGAGAGAGAGCGGCCGAGACCGAGGTAACCTTGAACCGGGAAAGGTCAGTGCCGTGGCGCCGAAGGGAGACGCGAGCCCGAATTAGCTCCAACTCGCTCCGCGCACCCATATAACGCATAAGTATTATATACGTCATATTACGTGCATACCTTACCCTCATGCATCTCCATACATTGTGCACATTTCATTTATCTGTACGCCCCGCCAAAGCCCTGCATGCAGAGTTACCCCGCGCGCTCAAGATTTTATCGACAGGCTATCTGTAATCGATTTTGCGTGCCTCTCCCCGCTACTACTTACATAAATATGCACGAGTAAGTACACGGCACTCGACCCTCTACAATGCAACCACACGGGTATACACGCCGAATATTTTTCCCGTAGTCAGTCCATTACCCTTGACAAATTTAATCTACATTGGGATACAAATATAATAATTTTCTACTCAAACAAACTTCATGGATGATACATACTTAGTACTTAGATAATTATATTCGCAGGGTATACACCCATGGGGTGCATCGCGCCAATCATGATCATCAGGGTCGAAAAACGAGAAACCAAAAAATTTGGATATGATTGAATTAATGAGCAATTATGGATCGACGGATTCACATTCGTTGGACATAATTATAATTCAGCCGGATGACTACGCTAATATTATACATAAGCACGTGAAATTGAAATTTTGGTACCACTACAGGCTTTAAGCTCGAGTTGCACATTAAATGAAATCATCGTACGTTGGAACGGGCGGCGCGGCACACCTCGTGAATAATGAGCTCTATATAATATAGAAGAACAACGGGAAGCTCTCATCACCTATACTTGCTACATTGGGAGTTGTTTATTCATCCAGTTGTTATAAAGTACAATTAAACGAGCTCACCTTTGCCTCTGCTATGTACAAGAACAGACATGTGTTATAAGGACACCAGAGACAGGCTTTCCCGTTGTCGGTGCCACTGCTCCTCACCGTGTACGTGTTTTTGGCTGCGACTGGCGCTGGGTTCGACTCTCATGACATGCTTGTATTATGTGCTACGCTACTTGTCTGTCAATCCAAAACCGTTACGCCAACATTTGGAATTCCTCATTAAAGCAGTCTATTCAATGTATTGTCTTACGAACATAACATACCGGTAAATAAGGCCTACCACATTTTTTTAACTTTCGACAATCATCAAAGTACACATGATTACCTATATTGCTGTACCGAAAAATACCTGCAGGACGTTCAAACGCTCAAGAAATTATCTGTAAGTACATGACTTTGAATAAAAATTACCAGTTATCTTTCATTTTCATGTTTTGGTCGATGTGATCATGACTTCATCACCAATGAAGCGTGCTGCAAATTTATTAACTTTTTGGCGTGCTCAGGACTCAATAATCCAAGCAATTTTTAATTATTATTTGTCATCATGATTTTTATATCAATTACAGTTTTATATTGTTTAGCTTATAAAAAAAATCCAATGAATCCAATAGAGCTAATCTATAACCGTTTTATCTTGACTATTTAATTTTTTTATCGACAAGGTTGTACTCTATAGTATGCACAAAAGAACCGACATTCATGACTGTCAATTAAATTATGGGTGGCAGTTTATATTCAAAGAAAAGTATATATATGTATATTAATCTGTCGATAAAAAATCTTAATTCCTAGAATATTATGGTGCTATCTCCTATATATGAAAAGTTGTATGAATTATGGAATTATTAATATTCAATTTTCATTTTGAATTGTGTACTTCTTTGGTACCGACATAAAATGCACCTTAAAAATCCTTTGGAAGTAAATACCTAACCGAGAACGGAATTCAATGATGAACACACGTTACTTTTTCTTGTAGCAGACCTTCACCCGGTCCCCGGCCCGGCCACGGGGAGTCGGCAGTTTGGTCGCCCGTTGCCATCGTTGACTTGACAATTGTGACATCCTGATGACACTTCACAATTGACGAATTGTCTATAAGTAGTACATACACATGGTTAATACAAAAATCAGTTGTAAAAATTTAACAGCACTGCAATTTTTTCTTTGGCAGGATATTTAGGTATAAATATATTAATAGACCTACTTTATCATTAGAAATACTAACCGTTTGTATCGAGTCGTATCCTCAAGGATCTAATCCACTGCATCTGATTTCTCTTACAATATGAGTATCACTATTAGTTCTTAATCAATAATCAATCTAAGTAGGTACTTTCAATCTCGAATGACTAATTTGACTGTAAACCCGTAAATAAACGATATGGACCATTGTCACCCGTGCCCGGTGTCTCTCCTGCACGTCCTGTGTGTGCATGTTTTTTTTGCATCGCTCTCCTCTCCCCCTTCCCATCAACCGCTTGAACCTCTCCTCCGTTGCGAGTCGTGCGCGCGCGCACTGATCTCTCTCTCCTTTCTCTTTCTTTCTGCCGAGAGCAGACTTTGCCTTCTGCCTTTACGACAGCAAGATGGCTGAACAAGTAAGTCCGCTCTTCCTAAACGCGACAATATTTTTAACTTACCGCTTAACATTGAGTGTCAAAAAACTTATCGAGTTGATAATACGTTTTTTAATTGATTAAGCATTGTTTTGTATTACTGTTATGTACTTAAACCCAACGTTTGTGTCGAATCTTGACGTTAGGTGTACACGTGGTTCGCCCTTTATGTATTAATACCAACGTTAGATTTTCTTTTATTTCACAATGTTTTAGTTAAAAGTTTCCCATATATGCTGGGCTCTCAGGCACCGAAGCTCATTTTTGTTCTGTTTATTGCAATTATACACATGCATATTTAACATTCGGTGTCGCCGACATAACCTATGCTTCAGATGCCATCTTCACGTGTAGACATTGCTCTCTGGAAGAGGTGCCTTATTATATTATGATTCTGTTTGCAGAATGTCAAGTCGTTCCAGAAGCAGCCCACGATTTTCCTGAACAGGAAAAAAAGTGTTAGCAAAGGTCGCAAGCCCACCAGGTACACTCGAAACGTCGGTCTGGGATTCAAAACTCCTCGCGAGGTAATTCATGGCCTTATTTTAGTATATCTCTCACCATTGAGTACGTATTTATAACATAACAACTAATTTTTTATCAACAGGCCATTGAAGGTACATACATCGACAAGAAATGCCCATTTACTGGAAATGTGTCCATCAGAGGACGCATATTAACTGGTGTCGTGCTTAAACAAAAAATGGAAAGAACAATCGTCATAAGACGAGATTATTTGCACTACATAAGGAAGTACAACCGTTTTGAAAAGCGGCATCGCAACATGAGTGTCCACATCAGTCCGTGCTTTAGGTAAATTTTTCTTCTCCTTCATTTGTGATAAAACCAAAAAAATATATGCACCTGCATTACCATGCCAACTGTTAACTCCAAATAACCATGCAAATAACAAATATTGTTTATTTGTTAAAACGCAAGCTTATTTTGCCAAATAATTTAATACGTGATGAAACCTACGACGGTCTTCTGAATACAAACTGAAGATATTTAATCGTATACTGATTCTATCTAGTTTAAAAACAAGTTCATCCAAATTGGAACTTTATCTTAACTAAGGTAATATCTTTTTTTTTAGAGATGTTGAGATAGGAGACGTTGTGACCATAGGCGAATGTCGTCCACTCAGTAAAACTGTCAGATTCAATGTGCTAAAAGTTTCAAAGGGAACTAGCTCAAAAAAGAAGTTCAAGAAATATTAAGGTACTTATTAGTTATGCAATAATAATTTATAGTTTGTCCATACACTCAGCAGCGATAAGCTTTCCGTTTATTCAACCAAATTCCCCCTTTCGTGTCCCGAAGTAGGTCCAATAATTTGTTGCGTTGGCCAATGATTTTTAAACGCGTCCGCAATTATCAACGATTGTCGTATATACGAAAAAATTGACTATAAATGTGTAGCATAAGTATTTAATAGTGCCGTAAAAGATTAAGTCCAGACGAAAATCTCGCTGTCATGGACACACATATTGGTGTACACGCATATGACTTAATTACTGCTTATAATTTATGATCGCGAAAGAGTTTGAAAATTATTCGCAAACACGACATATTATTTTACTTGCTTCCGGTCGCGAAAACTGGAGGCCGGTTTGATAGCGTAGAAGAGTTCACAGCGTAGGCAAAAAAATTTTATTTACACGCTGCTGGGTGTAGAGGCAAACTGTATTAATTGGTTCAATATTCAATGATGATTTTGACGACGGTCTTCTGAATACAAATTGAAAGATATTTATCGTCTACTGATTTCTATAGCTTCAAAAATTATATTTCCACTTAAGAAATTACAGTGTAATAATAATTTTTTCCTTTTTTTTTTAGATCTCGTGAATTGCGCTGATACAGTGTTAACACCTGTTGTACAAGATGTGTATTAATAAAAAATTTTATAAACTTAATTTGCTCTAAACATTGAGTTTTTTTTATCTTGCTCTATTTGAAATGTAATTGTTAATTTTAACTATTAATTACTCTTATAAGTTTTTGGTTCTTTTTGTAGGTTAAAGTAAACTTATTATATTGATAAATCGGAATGTCAGTTCGGGTATTTAAAAGTGATCATAGTTTTTGTCAATAGTAAATTATTTATTCTCATCAAAATGAACTTTTCGATGTACGTATGAACATACATTAAAATATAATACACCTTTAACTCTTAAAAATAATTAAATTTTAATGTCACTAATTATTTAAACTCTTATGATAAAATGTGTAGAATATTGATTCCTACAGCAGAAAAATTAGAATTAAATTAAAAATCAGTTACTAACAAATTTGCGTATATTTCAACACAAATTATAACTTTGCTAACATTCACAAATGATCAGAATTATGAATTGTATATGAGATCTTTACCAATCCATACACAATTCAGGAAATCCATCTTTTATCAATATAATAATTCATAAGGCACGTATTAAATTTGAGCTCCAAAAATTGTAATTTTAATACTTACAAAGACTGTCAATTCGTTAAAGACAAAACTACATTATATGTTTTTCTTATATAAAATATACATATGAATTCTAACATTTTAAATAACTCTCTTATTGTTCTAGCGACTGATACCTTTGTATTATTGTTAACCCTGCCTACTTAAACTTTTTTTAATACTAATGAAAAAGATTTGTAGTTATAAAAAATTGGTAATCACATTTTCAGATCTAGATCACTACCTTATAGTCTAAAAGAGTTATGATGCTTAGAAGATTCAGCAATGTATAAAACATAAATTATTGGTCCAGCAAAACCAAGTAAAAGAGAGAAACAGACTAACTGGAACCACGACAGTCCCCAATCAGCTCCTGAACATTTAAATGTATTTACAAAATTTTTATTATTTTTCGGACTAAAACCAGTTGCGATTAACTGGTCGGTTTCTTCCTCTGCCTCTTGTAAACATTGGGAAGATTCGTTCTCCAGCTGATTCAATGGCTCCACTAATGAGTTCAATATAATGTTATTGATTTCAACAGCTGAGGAAGATCCAATTAAACTAGTCGATTGATTGTCCCCAAGTATAGTTAGACCAGGCTGCTTGAAAACTGTGGGTTGATCATTGTCCATGAGAATTTCATTATTCTGTCCAACAGTTTCTGTTAAAAGAGAATATGCCTTCACTGGTACTTTAATGGACCTGTGTGCATGGATTTCATTTTCCTTGTGGATATTGTTAATTCTTTTCAATTCAGATATCTACAGAAAAGAAATTAATTTTAATAAGAAACACGTTACAGGAAAAAAAAAACTGTTTCTAGTTTGTATCTGTATAACTCACTGAGCACCTATATCTGAGAGCTAATGCCTGTAATGTGTCATCAGATTGTATCTGTACATTGATTACTTCAACCTTCCTAAGCTGTGGATGTCTGACTTTCAAGGACAAAAGTTGCTCTTCATCTTCACTTTGATCATCCTCAGAATACAAGAATACATAGTGAGGTGACGAGCTCTCTGTTTGGTTACCTCTCTGGTAAGCAATTTGCCTAAGCAAAAATAGCTTTTGTAAACTAATGAACAGAGTACCAAAACCATAAAACTAGCAGAATCATAACCTCAGTTACATTACCTTCCAGACTTATGCTGTTCAGTCGAACTGCTCGTAGATTTCTTTCGCATTTCCCAAAGTTTTGCATCGGTTATTAGTTAGATTAAGTATTTAAATTGTTAAGCACAACATTTTGTATGATTTTTAAAAATGTCGTACGTTGCAAAGGTGATATTCATTTAAATTGTCAACTATTTACTCTAATAGCAATACCAGCATAAGTATATCTATATGTTCATTGTTAAAAAGTCAGGATTCAGGATCGCCGATCGAGTATTTCTTTTGATTCTCGTTTCTCGCACATTCGATAATTCGATTTTTGTAATGCCTATAGGTATCGAAAATCCGAACTGAAATATGGCTGTATTCGATAGTTGCGCATAGTATTGCTGTTGACATGTTGACAGTAACATAACCCTTAGCTAATTTTTTTTTTTTAATAAATAAGCTATCTTTAGCCGGAAAGTAAAATAATTAAATTTTGAAAACAAACGAATATAGTTTTGAAACTAAGTAAGTATTCAAAGTGGCTTAAAAAAGTCCCTATTTCAGTATGTTTCAACGACTTTGGGCATCCAATTCTCGTAGTATTTCTGTAAGTAGCTTGATGTATTGAAATTAAGTATCTTGTCAAAAAACAAAAACTTTTGGTTTGTCTTTATGTTTGAACAAACGTTTTAAGATATTTTTTCTTTTCTTCACATCATNCAAGTGAATAAAATTAAAATACAGAGTATCTTTTGGATAATAAAATAAATACTTGAAAGTAAAAGCATAAATAATGCAATAATTTGGTAGTTCGTTTAGTTGATTAGAAAAAAAAAATTTATCTCTTTGTCTCTGTCTTGCATGTGATAGGCGGAGATACTGACTACCGAATATGGTCCCGTGGCAACTTTTTAATATTTATCAAAATTGTAATATGCATGTTTTGAAACTAAAATAATGTATAAATAAAAAATGTGATGTAGTTAATATCAAGAGTTTGGAATGGCCAACATAATGTGCTGTCTGGCAAAAAAGCAGAAGACAAGATGACATCCCTTTTGAAGGATAAGTTTCCCAAAGCTAAAGTGATCGAAGTCTGTGATGTTTCAGGTAACAGTTAAAAAAAATTTTTATTACATTTGATCGACAAAATAAAAATAAATTTCTTGATCCAGGTGGTTGTGGTGCTATGTTTGAAGTTAGTGTAATTACCTCAGAGTTTAAAGGGTTAAACACTATAAAGCAACACCGACTTATTAATGAGGTAAAAAACTTTGTTCTTTGTTTCTATTACTATTTTTGGAAATGAGCCATTTGTTCCAGTATGTCAAAGTATTGTAATTTATGTTAATCAGATCCTCAAAGAAGAAATCAAAGACATGCATGGTATTAGAATACATACAAGTGTTGCTGAATCATAAGTAGCGGCCCAAAATTATCTTTCTTGGTACAACTGTGCTCCTTAGGAGTACATATTAAATATTTTTACTTCTAGAAGTTCCTGGTATGATGTGTTTAATTAATAAGAAAACCATTATGTAAATACACACATTTGAGAAATAATTATACATGTTATTAGTGTTTTTCAAACAGTCTTATGTATGTAGTATGTACCCTTTCATTCAAAACAACATAAACATAAATCAGCAGTTTGCTTTCTTTGAGTAGTTAATAGAAAGTTCTGCTTTAAATTGTTTAGTCTACTAGCTACATGGAGTTCTACAGGCATTTAACATTCGTAGCATATTTATGACCACTGAAAGAGATGCAATAAGTATTTATTTCAAAATGGTGTAGAGTAACAATCATCGAAACACTGAGAGTAAGCTTTCAACGCTAGCAATGTAAACTTTTATAAAATTCTACGTGTTGAAAATTAAAAGATAATAGTGTGTTCAAAATATAATTTCATGTAAGAATCACGAGACAAAAAAAAGTCCTCAAATATATATATATTTTTGTCCGAAAACTTTTGCGCGATAGATACAGACATACACAAACTGGATAATAATCATATTAATAAAGTACGTGAGTTTTCGAATTTGAACATTGATACGCTTCGAATTACATGAGTGACCAAAATCGAAAACGACAAGAGTAGGGCTTTAAGGAATTCTGAACTCAGTATTTTTTTTAAGCAACTTTCACAAAAAAATCCCGGAATTCATTTACTGTCGCTGTATAAATATTTTCTTGTGAAATGAGTTTTTTAAACTTTTTGACAATTGTTGCGTTTGCATAATTTTATATTCAAATTCAAACTTGAAAGTCGTGCTTGGCGCCCCCTACCAAGCTCACTATTCGGAATTTCGGAAATACGTTGTTTATTGCATATGGCGCCAGAACCTATCAGCTGATCTCTCGATCGCTCTCTCATATATATAATATATAACCCAATACAGTGTAAACATTCGTTTGGTGACAACGGCCAAAGTGAAATAATATAGCTAAAACAATTTAAAATAACGCATAATGAATGATATAAACAGTTCAATTCTTCACGCAAAATTTCAAGAAATTTTGCCCAATCTTCCCAGTAACATTACACCAGAAGTCCTTAATAAGCTTTGCAAAGATGATTGTGTACAACCATTTTTGAAGTGGTTTCACGCGAATATTAAAATTGATAATGTCTTGTCTGATGATGACATAAAATTGTGAGTATCAATTAGACTATTTTTTAAAATGTTTAAAAAGCTCTAGAGGATTAATTTTAAGTTTTAATGTAGAAAAACACACATAGAGCAGAATGATAGTTGGTTGCAAGGCAATGAACTGGATGCAATGCTTGAAGAAGCAACGAGAGATTGTCCAGAACTATTAAAGTTGATTGAATCTGATTATTGGAGTGCCAAACAATCATTTGCAGATCTTGCCTCTGAAAAAGAATTATACGATGCAGATGTAGAATATCTTCAAAATCTTGAAGACAGTATAAAAAAGCTAAAGTATAGTATTGTAAACTTTTTATGTAACAAATCTTATAATATCATAAATTCAAGCAAAATTCCAATTACAGAGAACAAGAAGATAAAATAGATTGCCAGATTGATGAAGAGGATGATGTTTTCAAAAAAGAAGAAGCAAAAATCAAAGTAATCTATGAAAACTGCATATCCGTTTTAGAAGATCTAGACAACAGTTATCGACAGTTTTTTAAAGCTGTTGAACTTTTGTCAAGTTCGTATATAAATGACAATCAAAAGGTAGTACAAATATTTGGTCATTAAAACTGCAATAAAACAAGTTTAGTTAAATAAATTTCAATTTCTTAGAAAGAAGAATCTTGTCTATGGACACAGATGCCAATTGAACTTTATATTAAACAGTTGGAATCATACAACGATTATTTAAGTTCTTATGCAAATAGACAGTTTTCTGCGCCATTACATGATAGAGCTGATGCAATCGATGAAAATTATGCAAGTTTCATTAGTGATAATGGAGAAAATGACAAATTAAAAGAATTATTGACTTATCAACAAAAGTAAAAGAAAAATTTTATTGTTTGCCCATGATATTGAATGTCAAAAAATCCTTTAATATTGTTTTTTTTTTTTATTCAGTATATTTACATCCAAAATGCATGAAATAGTTGCTAAATCCGAAGATGAAGCAAATAAAAATCTAATAAAATATGTATCTGATCTCTATGGTGATGGTTGTTTAAAAGTTCCAAGTACACCTGTGGTCGCGAGGTAAATTGCTATTCTTATTGGTATAAATAGTTGTTTAAATTGTTGCAAAGTTTAATCTGTAGTATGTATGTTCAGGTCAGAGATTGCCGAATTAACTAAAACAAGAGACTTTTTAGAAGAAAATATTTATCAATTACAGGAATGCAAACTAGTTGATACCGTTCAAAAATTTTCAAGAGCGAGAATCGTGAAAATTTACAAAGAGGAAGCAGAAGCAAGGTTGGAAAAAAAGAGAAATAGGTTTTTGAGATTAGAGAGGCTTTGTACTTATGCTACAGAACATGGACATGCATTTTCAACTTTACTATGTATGCTGTTTGAATTACAAATTCACAGAATCAACGAAATTATAAATTTCGTCATAGACGCTCGGCATTATTTGACCATGGAATATTCATTGTCATCCATGCGAATCGTTAGTCTTTAAAGATATTAGTCTGATCATTTTATTAAAAAATAAAAAAATTCATGTGTATAACTTATAGTGTCTTTTTTTTAGGAAAGTATGCAAAAATTACAAAACGAGTACACATCCGCTTTAACTTCTCCTAAGGATAAAAATACGTTTTGCCGATTGTTTACTGAGATGACGACAATCATGGACTCACAGGACGATTTACAGTCATCTATTCTATATTATGATGAGTTACGAAGCGATAACAATAGCAAACTAGAAATTTTGTTAGAAAAAAAATTGAATGAAATAATTCAAAGTTCTGAAGTATTGTATGTATCATGCAATAATATACAGTGATATTTTTTCATACGACTTTAACCATTTTATTATTTTTACAGAGAAAAAAAAGTGGTTGATATATTTAATGAAGAAATCATTAAAAGTTCAACACTCAGTTTTTCTACAATACCGTGTGAAGTTCAAGATAAAATGGATACAACTACAAAGCAAGTTCAGTTAATAGAAACCAATGTAGAATCAATCAAGAATAAACTGAAAAATATGATAGTAAGTATACATAAACATTTAAAACTAACCAAAAATATTAGGCATCATTAACATAATTTTTATTCGCAGAAAGAAACTAACAAGCCAAGTTTTGAGCGAGAAAAACTAATGTTATGGAAAAAGTTCTTAGCACACCCAGAATCATTAAAAACAAGATGTGAAGAATTGAAGGACATTGAAGAACGTATTAAATTTTAATTGACCATTTAAAAAATTTTTTGTACAAAAGTAAATTAGTGCTGATACGTGTTAAAAATGCCCTGAAAATTTTGGACAAGTTAGTGTAAGCTTCTTTGTCACGAAATATTTTTAATGTTAAGTTGAGAGTGTGATCGAAAATTTAAATTTTGCTTACACTAATTACTCAGTATCACGATATACCTCATCGGTGTGTCACCGCTCGTGTGATCTGACCAAGTACTTGGTATTTAAAGTAGATACCTTTCCAAGTGAATAAAATTAAAATACAGAGTATCTTTTGGATAATAAAATAAATACTTGAAAGTAAAAGCATAAATAATGCAATAATTTGGTAGTTCGTTTAGTTGATTAGAAAAAAAAAATTTATCTCTTTGTCTCTGTCTTGCATGTGATAGGCGGAGATACTGACTACCGAATATGGTCCCGTGGCAACCTTAAATGGCCTTTTGATTCTTGAAGGATATACTAATTTTTTTTATGTCTTCACCAATGTTTAGTTATGAATTTTAATAGTTACAAAACTTGATATAATTATAACAAAATGATGCAAAATTTTCTATTATAATTTGTAATATGATGAATATTCAAT